CAACAACAACTAACCGATTCATCGCCTGTTGGTACTAAATCAAATGTTAAATGTCTTTTGTTTTTGAGATATAAGCGTCGCAAAATATCACCTTTCTATGGCAAGATTGAAAATGATAAGTTAGTGACTGTGAACATACTGTTTATTTAATTATTGAAGAATGTCTATTATAGAATTATAATGTCATAAGACTCTCTTGCACATCTGTCATAATAGTATTACAATATCATATTAAGAATCTTTCACACATCTGTCGTTATAGAATTACAATGTCATAAGACTTTCTCGCACATCTGTCACAATATGTTTACAATTAAGGACGTTTTCGGGAGTTTTCATATAGACATATAGGCAAAATTAAAACTGTTCAATAGAATTTCTTTAAACTTGGCATTTTATTAGAATATCATAACAGAAACATTTTATTAATAAGCGAAAAAAAATTGGGGTCACCGTTCTCGTTTGAGTTATCTGCCCCTGAATCAGACTTTTCTACTTATTTGAGGTCAAGGGCAGATTACTTATACATACTTAAATGAATTCTCGTTTTTACTTCTGGGTTATGTTTTTCTCTTTATTGTTGAGTACAATACATAATAACATGCAATTCCTTACATCGTTTCTGTTAATTGTTTTCAATGAAAATTAAGGTACTTTAAATTCTAAAAAAAGGCCATTTTTTAAGAAAAAATGCACAGGTTAAAAGAAGAAGTGGGAATAAAATCTACCCACTCTAAATATGTTCTTAAAATTTTGTATATCAACTAAAACGAAGGTTAGCTTAATAAAAATAAGGTAAAAATTGTATTGTTTCCCTTCATTTTAAATTATCTGCCCTTGAATTTAACAAAAAGTCCAGTTCAAGGGCAGATAACTCAAAAATGAGAACGGTGACCCCAATTTTCGTTTCGCTTAAAATGTTTCTGTTATCATATTCTAACAACATGCCAAAGAAATGCTATTGAACAGTTTTAATTTTGCCTATATGTCTAAATGAAAACTCCCGAAAACGTCCTTAATTCTTTAAAGAAAACAAAGCATATACATGAAGGAAATAAGTACACATAGGAGCATAACGCTGTTCAATTGAACAAATTGTTTTAAAATTTCAAAAGTTTTAAAGTTATATAAACGTGTATTTAATTTTACTTACCAAACGATCCGCACTGCTTATGCCCAAAATATCAAGTGGCGCAGTTTAAAAACTTGTGTCTGTAATTGTACGAGATTATCTTGATATTGAATGACTAAAGTAGATTTAACTTCCTTTCTTGGTATTCGACATTGGGCTGACGACAATGCCAACAACCTTTTTGGAGGTCCACTTGATCTTTCACGCCGAATTTCTAAGCTCCAGTCGTTATTGTTTCCGTGAAGTTTATTTGTAAATCTACTTTAAACATTTAATATATAAAGGCAAACCCATGACCTCCGGGTTAAGGTAATATTTGGTCACAGGAACATTATTAGATTCTCTTCAAAGAGTTGGCTTTTAAGGACTTTCCTTACATAAAAAAGTGTTTTACTATTTTATATATACATTGCTATTGGTTGTTGTTTTAGAAATGAAATGACAAAGAAAAAGAAATAAAGAAAATAATAAAATAATAATGAAAAACAAAAACAGAAATAAAATAAATAAATAAATTTGCCACTAACGAGAACAACTCCCCCTTAAAACCGAACCGAACCTCACTCAAAACAGCTTAAGTATTTTGATTGTATAATGAAAACGATGTTACCCAAAATGAATTTGGAACAATAATTTTCCAATAAAAATTGGTCAATTTTTTTATTACAATCTAGTGTTTTGTTTTCAAGTCTCTACAACTCATTCCTTTGAATGTTAACACAAACGTTATAAAAACGACCAAAAAGGAAGGGCGGCGTTAAATGGACGCCACCCCACACGATCCAGGAACAGAAGACCACCATTAAAGGAGCCCAGCAGGGCACTCTAACAAAAACAATGCAGGGCAAAATGCAAGGCACGGGCAGGGTGTATATTTAATTAATACATAAACGGAACAAATAGAAACCGATTATGAAATGAAAGAAGACGATTAATAAATAGGTCTACAAAAGTAAAGGTTTGAGAAACCTTACTTATTTCTGGCGCAATGTATTTCTAGAAATAGAGTACATGGATTAAGAGACGAATGTTCGAGTATCTATACAACAACTTTACGAACGAAGGTAGAATATTGAGTACAAAGCCCTTTTCCTCAAATATCATAATGTAATTATTAACAGCGAAAGTTTAACATAACAAAATGAGCATATTTTCAAACCAAACAAAATGGCTGACTTTTCATTTCATATGGCTTTGTTCTCTGCAACTCATTCGTGTGAATGTAACACATAGTCCTCAAAAATTCTCAAGCGAAACATACGGGCATTTGCAAATTAAGTTAAAAGTACGAAATGTTTATTAAAAAACACTACGTTCCGACAGAATATGATTGTTTGTACAATGTCTTTCAAGAATCAAGGCCGATGATGTACATGAATTTAGCGATTTTACGATTATATATAGAACCTACTTAACGAACCTACGACTTATAGATTACATTTCTTATCGGTAAAACGCAATTACTAATTTTGTTTACCTGATATATTATTTGTCTTAAAGGGGACCACTATTCGATTGTTAAGTGCCTATAGTCATTTGCCCTACATAAATACTTTGCATTAGGTCATACTTTGAAAGGAAGTTAAATCTCGCTTGATTTCGACGAAATCAAAATTGGTTTAGAACCAAAGTTTGATTTAACACAGATTGATGATAAAAAAAACGTGAACAAAATAAATACTTTACAAAATTTGAGAAATAAAATGTCTGTACCTCACGTTATCTTGTTTGTGAATATTCGAATATTTTAGCCTTGTTTATTATGATAAGCCGTTGCTGGGAGTGATAGAGTCGTGAAATTTGTCGCATTTTCATGTACTCACCGAAATATCTCATCTCACATGGGCTTATCTCTCACTTCTATTGTAACATGTATTATGCATTCCTGCACATACTCTGCCTAGTTAACGAATCTACTTTGATTTTATTTTGATTGAAACTAGTCAAATAAACTAGTACCGAATCATGAAAAAAATGAATGGTTAAATACTTTTTATCAACTATTGACTATGAACTGAATTGTTCGCCAAGAATCATGATCGACTTAACCTATGGTCCTCGGGATGGGAGTCCCAATCCTATGTCTTACCAAGTAATATATATATCTAATTTATCTCTCAGGAACATCTAAATAAAATTTCGGTTTCTCGTAGAAAATAGCAAAACATTCATTTCTTAATATTTTAAGATCTTAAGTTTGACAACATTGTATTTAAGTTTATCACGTTAAGAGAAGACACTCCGTAAACATAGTTTGTCGTTAATTGTGGCAATATTTAAAGAATTTACAAACAACTCTGTAAGTATCGTCCAAATAAACGAGCCTTAACTACCAATTGAATTCTTTCAAAGGTGTAAAATTGCAGCTGCATTTACATGTGAATTGATTTTTAAAAAAACAGCTTCATTTCCAAGTATTACATTTCTAAAAATATTCGTTGCAAAACAGATATTATGACGTTTTGGCATTTAAGAGTTTCCTTTGTTAAGAAATGAATTCCGAATTACTTAAAATGCCGCTCCCACTTCAACAGGAAGTTCAATTATTTTCCCCATAACTTTTTGACTGTTGGACGGCTGACAATTTTTTGAAATAATTTGGCACAAGTGGTCACCGTTATGACATCGTAAGAAGAGTAAAACAAAAATGAAAGAAAATAATTAATCTGAATAATGAGACAGATGTTTACGAGGGCTTACGGAATGAAGCCACAAATTCAATATGATGAAAAACTCATATTCTCTTTACATTGAAACAAAAATTAAAACAATATAAACGCATTATGGTCATCATGTGCATATATCAGCAAACACAAACAAAACGCAGCTTAATGTTGGTACAACGTCATACGCAGTGACGTTAAAAGTTTATTGAAGTTCATAATGTTTTCAAAGTATGAACTATAAGGTCTATGTAGCGGTTCCGTGGTCGCTCTATCAGCTAAAGATACATTTTACTGTCAAAATCGTAACCACATAACCTGCTGGAAATGAAAATGATAAGCATTTGTCATCAATAAAAGCCAAACTAGTCTTAACATCCTGTATGAATTCAACATACTCTATACTGTTGGTAGCTCAATATTGTATTTTTTATAAGTAAATCCCCTTGGTATTCAATTGGACTGTAATCAATTCAAAGCAGGGCAAATCTTTTACACAAATTCAACAGGATAATCTTACTAAAATTCATTTTAAAGCAAGTACAACAGAAACAATTGTTTTTTGTGTGTTATTTTGCTTTTATTCACTATGCTCGATTTTATAATAAATTATTACATAATTTGTGTGAGTTAACACTTCTGATTAATACATGTATATAAGTCCTTAATGACAGAATAAGCTGTAGCAAAAATAAAAATGTTGAATACAATTATATCATACTTATTGGAAAAAAACATTCTAACACAACTATTTATCGATTTGCATTTCACTAAATCAATAGCAATTTAAGAATTAGAATTAAGAGTTTTAGAAGTTTGTCTAATCATTTTACATAATTGTTTTTTTACAATAATAAGACCATTATTAACTAAACAAGTATGATAATAGGAGTTATAGCTAGTAACACTTATAGATGATGAATATTATGTGCATTCCAATGCTGTCAAAAGTTTATCGTCCGCGACAGAAAATGAACAAATTTTGGTACAGCTAATTTTTATAGAAATAGCAATCTTTTTCTTTAATATGTTAGGCTAACAATATTTACACAGTGTGCTTAAAGTAATAAAACAGAACAATTATAATCATGCTACATATATTCAGTATATATGATTAAAGAATAACATTGGCTCATACTAGCAAACAAATTATACTAAACAGAAGAAAAGTGTATATAAGTGTTCTGATTTAGTTTGGTTATACTCTATCCAAGAAAATCGACAGATTTTAGCATCATTTCACCAGATTCCTTGTCAACGACTTTTACAACAATCTCGGTCCCTCCGAAAATAAAACTTATTCCAAATTTATGGTTTCTTCCAGAGCTTGTGTCAGAAATAGGAACCGTAAGAGATCCGATGTGATTGCATCCATCTTCTGTTGTAAGCTGTGGATTTGTTGAAGAGGATACATACACATCGACACCAATAGTAGTTTGATTATCAGTAATAGGGCATGTTATTCTTTCTGGTTGTTCTTCATCCAACTTGACGGACTGTCCTGTTTTGACATGAATTCTAAAGATATCATGACATCGTAAGTCACCATTTTCATCTTTTTCAACTCTTCCTTTTGGATGATTGCATCTATCACTGTACCTATGAGTTGTTTCGTTCCCATATGTATACTTACAAATCCTTTCAGTAATTGTTGCAGGCTGATGTCCAAAGATAACAGCTCCTTTCACAACCGCTAATTCTGTGTCGACTGGAATTATTACATTAAGATCTTTGAATGTGGACTTTACATTCTCTTGCAACACCAATGATCCAGAAAATCCACCAACCATAAGAATGGCAGCACAACCATCAACTGAAGATTCCGTCAATATATTTTCAACATGACTTATTATTTTGCGGACGGTTGGTTCAAAAAACTCATTGAAGACGTCACAATCAATCCTCAACTTACCGCCAAAAAGGCGGACTTTGCTTTCAAATCTAGACTGTCGTATTAATTCCCTTACGTTCGTTTTTTTGAAAACATTACATAAGTCATAAAGGCTAATTGGGATTCGCATAGTCACGGCGGACCTTGTAGATTGAAAAAATTGGCGTTTGCTGCTTTCAAATTCACAAAACAAGTGAATGTAATCATCATAACATTCACTTTTGAATTTTGAGATGACTTCCGGTCCTGTAATACGATTAATTGATAATCTAAAGTAAACCCTGGTTCATCTGATATACCAATGCTATTATATTGATATGGTATTGATAAGTAAAAACTGAAACATATCTAAGTTCATACAACGATGAAAAGTCTTAATCAAAAGAAGTCTGAGTTAACACCTCCGGAAATGTATCCAAAGTTAAAGTTAGTTTAAAGAATATTTATTTTATTTTCATTTGCACGAAAGAAGACATAAAAATAATTTTACGGATGATGTAGGAAGCTTTAAAAGCTTTTTTTGAAAACACTTTATTCAGTAAAGGTAACAGTTACTATTACAAATTCACTTCTTATGTGTACGTTGTGATTTTAAAAAATATATTTCACTGTAAAATATTTCTTTGTGTCAAATATGAGTTACCTACCAACAATTCTTGATAAAAATTCTTCAAAAGCTTCATCTACTTTTGTTCCACCCCATGCACCACCACTTGCTTTATAAAGTTCCTTCAAGTTTCCATTATGAGTAACTTCATGTACAGTTATGTCAACTGTTCCTCCTGTTAAAGGAAACAAAGAATTAACCACTCAAAAATCATTTACACTTTAACAACAAAAACGAAAATTAACAGGCATATTACTTGCTTTCAAAACAAAATACAAAGTATTTTTTCTGACAGGTTTAATACATATATGCAAATGTTTATCAAATTAGAAAACAGTTAGTTTAAGCGTTTCGTTTTAGTAATATATTTAAGAAGAATACCCCCTGCGTCAAGGACAAGATATTTTGTTCCTGGTGAAAACGGAGAAATCAATGTCGTACACATTGACACTGCAAGATGACGACAATAAATAGATGCGGCTTCTGGTTCAAGACATAAACTTAGGTTCTTTCCTGGAATCCCAGCCTATAAAAGCAAACAAATGTTTATTAGACTAGAAGAAGTTAATATCCGAATCAGTTTAGATTCGTTACATAATTATCGTATAAAAATGCAAATAATGTAAATAGCTAAGTAAATATATTTTTAATCAAAACAAGGCCGCCACAGAGGGACAGTGATTGCATAGGGTTATATGAATAGTTCCTTTCTTTAGTAGAGGTTCGAATTAAATGAACAGGTTTTGAAATATGTACAAAACTAGTATGTATCTACAGACATATTATTAATGACTTGTTCATATAATATATTATAATTTAATATTGTTATATTATGTATATATGTTTATGTCATACACTGTTCGTTTATTGTGCATGTTTTTTATGCCCTATTGGGCTTTAAAGACTATTGGAATAAAAATAAAATGTCTACTGTCCAATAATAACACTAAAAGTGTTTAACCTTATTTTAAATAGTTTTTATCCGTTTTTTGTGTTTAAAAAATTAACGTTGAAGTTGCAATATCTGTTTACATTTATATACCTGCTGTGCTGCCTCTCTCATAAACTGTTTAGCTGCATCGTTCCATATTGCTGGAACAGTAAGAACCCAGTGTATGTCAGACGCAAAAAAACTCTCATCAATATGTTTGCTTAGAATTTCAAGAACATCCTTTCTTAAGAAATCAATAAAAAGCGAGAAAACCCTCATAGCCGGTAGTTTCTTACCAGTCTCATCTTCTAGTGTATCACGTCTTGTCATGCCCTTATACATAAGATAAAATATTCAATTAATTTCTTAAATATTTGAAACATAATCCTGAAATTAATTTCATGTTCATTGTCTAAATAAACCGCAAAATGAATAATGTATACTATTTTATATGTATTTAAGCGGGAAATAGTTAACCTTAATTGATATGTTGATATGAGGAGACCGGGACAAAGTGAAACCTTTTTTTCAATAATTTATATTATTTTCAATATGACAAGATCGATTATGAAATTTTTTTATCTCTTCACTTCAAAACAACCGATTTTTATAACTAATTGCAAACAGTTTTTGGGATTATAATGGATTGTGTGAATAACTTTGCACATGGCGGGGGGTAAAATGAAATAATGCATTGGTCAAAGTTAAACAGTAACTATAAAAAAATCTCAAAACTAAACGATAATGTCATTATATTTCTGTATAACACATACAGTAACAAATTTTCATAAGTATGAATTGGCACTTTAATGTATTTATTTATTTTTAATGTGGGATCAGCTCTATTATTCTTCATTTTGCTGAGGTAATTCTTGTTTAGTTAAGGTTGCGATGCGGACACTCCTTATGATATTAAACTAGGCTTTTTAACTTATAAACCATTTCTTTTTTTAAGTATCACTGTTTTAACTTTCCCCACCCATACTGTTTTATTTTGCCCTTTTTAACAAACTCACTTATTTATTCATATCTACGTTTTGTTCAAGAGTGATCACTTCCTAATTAAAGATTTCACTATGTAATTACTTGACAGATTGTACATGTATGAATATTTTAAAATTTTTTAAAATTTCCCCTTTTCCGCATCTACAAAGTATGGTTTCAAATCACATTGTACAAAAAAATTGTCACAAAACCCGTTCAATTCTACATGAAAAATTTTTATAACTTAGAGAATGTCTCATTGTGCCCTCGTCTTTGCAGACAGGGATGGAGAAAGACAGGGAGGTATATAGACATGGATGAAGAAATTTCTGCACGAGTGCGCGTGTACATAAGTACGTATGTATTACACTTGTGGCATTAATGTTCATATTATATTATACCTTTTCTCTAAAAAGCATCATTTTAAATCTTTTGAAGAAGAACCATTGGTATTGTTCCCCGTTTTCGCATATTTCAGCATAATAGTCCTCAGCTTCATAACCAATAGAATGTGGCGTTTCCCCATCAGAATTTATAAGAATGCATGTTGGAACTGAAACCAAAGTTTTATTTGATTGGATTACATTAGAAACAAATTAAACTCTACAAATAGAAAACAATTATCAAGGATTTTGTTTGAGAATAATGTTTGACATTTGCATTAGAATAATCATATTGAGATTTTGAGTCATAAAGAATAGACTATTATTTATCAAAATAATAATAATAAATAATAATAATTGAGGGAGTGGTGGCCTAGTGGTTAAGGTGTCTGCCTCTCAACCCAGAGATCATGGGTTCGAACCCTACTCGGGTCACGACCATGGTGTCCAGGAAGCGGACTCGGAAGTGATTAATATAAGTTGCAAGAACTTGTTTCGCAATCGAGCTTAAATAAATATGTTTAAACCAATAATAATAATAATAATAATAATAATAATAGTTATAGTAATTATAATAACTATAATATTAATAATAAATTAATGATAATAATAATAATAAAAATAATAATTCAGTTACCAATAACATAATGAAATGCTAAATGCTAATTAACGCATAAATGATCAGTTTTTGCATGAATGAAAACGATGCAAACTAAGAAGATGGAAACTGAGACATTTTGAAAAAGTAAACGTCCTTAAAACTTTTGCATTGCTCAAACTTATTTATCAGCTAACAGTATTACATAATCCAGACCAAGATATCATAAATAAAATAAAAAATCTCATATTTAACTTCCTAGGGGATAACAAACCAGACAAAATATCAAGAGATAAGAATATCCAAGGTTACCATTATTGGGGGGGGGGGGGGGGGAGGGGGCTTAAAAAAGACTTTGAAAGCTTTATTTACTCCTTAAATTGCTCTTTGGTTTAACGCATTAAATTGCAGCGACACTCTAATTAAATGGGTTAAAGTATATGAAAATATGTTAAATAAATACGGAACAATTCATATAGCAATGTAATTTAAACATAAAAGATATTGAAAGTTTTGATATTAGCTTTAGTTTTTTAAAAGACGTACTCAGTGCTTATTATGCGGTTTTGCAACACAGCATCAGAATCTTGTCAAATTTATTTTAAGAATGCTCTAAAGTTCAACCATTTTTGTGTCGAATCAGGAATATATTTTACAAACAAAATATTCTACAGACAAAACTTTGGTATCATGTGGATATTCAAAATATAATGAAATCAAACAGCATTAACTAAATCTTATTCTTAGGTAAATTTTTCATCTTCAAAAATAAATACGAGAAAGCGATAACAATTTTAAATGAATTTTTAAATTACATGCACCTTAGAGATACATGTAAACTTATTTTACAAAGACTCATTGCTGAAATGAAAAATAAGGTTAATGTCCATAACAACAAGTGGAGCATATGTCCTACACGCATGGAATTTTAATGAAACTTCATAGCAATATCAACCACTATAACAAGCTGTGTCGCGCACATAAACTAGTAATCTAGGTCAAAGGTTCAGGTCACACTTAGAGGTAATTGAAAAACGCTTGTTCGGAGCAAAACTTCTACATGCATAGAGGGATTTCAATATTACAATATAACACGCAAAGTGTCGCGTGCAAACTTTTGGTCCTTTCAGACAAGGTCAAGGTCACACATAGGGGTGAACGTTCAGAAAAAATATGAAAATATGTATTCGAACCATTTAGTCATCATTTATGTAGAGATTAAAACACAAAAGATCATTATCATGACTACGGGTGTGACATGCAAGGCGCAAAGGCCACTAAATTTAACTAAAATATAAAGTATTTGTCTAGTGCATATCTCCTACACATATGAAAGGATTCTTATAAAACTTCATAGAAATGTTCAACAATATGACAATCAGTGTCATGTGAATGAACCAAGTCTCTTAGTTAAAGTTATGGTCATTCTAAGAGGTCATTTAAATATGCTTGTTCGGTGCTTATTCTACATTTAACAACAACAACAACAAGAATGAAAATAATAATAATAATAAATATAATAATAATGTAACTGTACTGTTTGTTTTTTTTGGACTTTACGTCACATCGACACAGTATAGCGACGTTCCAGCTTAACTGGTGGAGTCAGGTGCCCTTCCGTGCATTATTTCAGGCACGAACGAGCACCTCTGTAGAACCCCCGACGTTCCAAAACTAGCTGGATAGCCTCCTCACATGAAAGAATCCAAAGTCCCTGTCGGGATTCGAACCCACAACGGTGAGGGACAAGTGGTTTGAAGTCAACGACCTTAGCCACTCGGCCACGTACGCCCCGTAACTGTACCAGAACAGATGTATAAGTAATTACGTAAAATGGTAAAGGATGGAACAAGAGGTGAACTGAGTATGGGTTTATCAGAAAAAACACATTATACAGGTATTAGGAAAAATCCAAAAATATTATCATTTTCCATTTTATGTTCATAATTACATATAAATGAGCATACACATAAGGCTTTTTTATCCCCCGCCGAAAAATTTTCGGCGGAGGATATAGAAATAGTATCCGTCCGTCCGAACTTCCGTCCGTCCGTCCGTCTGTCCGTCCTTCCGTCCGACATTTTTGTCCGGAGCATATCTCAAAAAGTATTTGAGTTATCAACTTGAAACTTCATAGGTGGATAGACCTCATTGAGGAGGAGTGCAGTGCACAAGAAAGATAACTACCTTGCATGATTTTGATTATTGCCCTTTTTATTTTTCAAAAATTGATTTTTGTCCAGAGCATACTCCAAAAGTCTATGGAAATTAACATGAAACTTAGGTGCATAGATCTCACTCAGGAGGTGTGGAGTGCCACCAAGAATGATAAACTCTACCTTTCATAATTTTGCATAATTGCCCTTTGTTATTTTTCATACCCAAAAATTTTCACCTGAGTGGGAGCAAACTTCAAAAAGTGTTGAGATATCAACATGAAATGTCATAGGTGGAATAGATCTTATTGAGGAGGAATGTTGTGCGCAAGAATGATAACTGTTCCCTATCAATTTTTGAGTTATTGCCATTTTTTTTTCATGCTTTTTGTCCAGAGCTTATCTCAAAAAAATTGAGAGGTTTCAACTGAAACTTCATAGGTGTGATCTCATTGAGGAGGAGAGCATGCTTAAGAATGCATATCTCTACCCTGCATTATTTTGAGTTATTGCCCTTTGTTATTTTCAAAATTAATTTTTGTCCAGAGCCATAACTCAAAAAGCCTTTGAGCATATCAAAATGAAACTTTATAGGTGCATAGATCTAACTCAGGAGTGTGCACTGCACAAAATGATAACCCTACCTTTTATAATTTTTGAGTTATTGCCCTTTTTCTTTTTCATACTTAATTTTTCAATCAATTTTTTTTCTCAAAAAGTATTTGACGTATAACTTGAAACTTCATAGCTGGGATAGATTTTACTGAGGAGGGATGCAGCACACAAGAATGATGACCTACCTGCATTAATTTTCAGTAATTGCCCTTTGTTATTTTCAGCCATCAGTATTCACATAGGTTTCAAATCTGTAATCACTATAGCCATCAGTTTTCATTACCAAAAGACCTCTTAAAATGGAATTATTCCGCTCTACTACATATACATTCTTCCAATGAGCAAACACATTCGGCGGGGGATGGCCATGTTGACATGGCTCTTGTTAAAAAAAGCAATGTATTGCCAGTGTTTTGACTGGCAGTGGGAAAGACCCATTTCTAAGACATTGACGGTACATATGATACCACATACTTATAACTTGATAAGTTTATCATGTATAAACGACAGAACGAGTACATTCGAATCGCCGATAGTTTGTCTACATAAAAGATGAAGTGAAAATGACTTTATTGCTAATAAAAAGAAATTAATAAAGGAATAAGTGTTATTTCAAAGATTTTCTAACAATGTATTCAAATTTAAAAATAAATCGTTAAAAAATATTGGGTCATTGCCTTCGATTTAAGAAATTTGAAAAAAGAAACCTAGCAAAAAAGTCCGCTTTATAATGTTTCATTCTGTTTGTTAACTTAAAATGATTCTCTTTATACGAATTTTAAAGTGAAAACATAAACAAAAAGGCAATAACTCTAAAATTAGGTAAGACACAGTTACGGTTCTTTTAGGTTATGTCCCGGACAAAGTTCAATGTGGAGAAATGAACACATGACAATAACTTCAAAATGAGGTCAGGCAGAGTTACGGTTTATTTGCACTGCACTTCTATTCAAGGAGATCTAGTTACCTACAAAGTTTCTTGTTGATGTCTCTTGCTGTTTCGAGTTATGTCCCGGACAAAGTTCAAAGTCTAAAAATGAACACAGGGCAATAACTCCAAAATTGGGCAATTAAGAGTTATTGTTCCTTTGCATTGCCCTTTTACTTTATAAGATCTATCTACCAAAAAATTTAATGTTGATATATTTAGTACATTCTGAGTTATGTTCTGGACAAGAAATCTGCAACGGACCGCGCAACTTACCGACCAACCGATCGACCGACCACCAGCTGACTCCAGAATACCCCACACACTTCATTTGTTGCAGGCTTAATAATGCACATGTTAAGATAATAATCTATTTCACTAGAGATGGAAAATCTTGATACTGAATTTTTTGTTAATCATTTAAGTCATCCTAATTTAACGTTTTTATATTTAAAACATATAAACTGAAGGTGACATTATTTTACCTTTAGGTGATATATTTGTGTTTTGAATGGCATTTGTTGTTATCTTCAGAGGATCTCGTTTGTAGTCATCCTTGTATGAAAACGCCCATCCTGAGTATGTTGTCCCAAAATCAATAGCAACCACAACTAACGAGCTCATTGCCTGTATAAAGAAACTTTCTGTTATTAACAGTAAAGGAATTAAAGCAAAGAACAAAGTCAACCAAAAAGCCGTGAAAAAGATAAAGCAAGATCTAAGCAAAAACATTACAATGATCGCAAAAGCAAAGGCAACAACTCAAATTAAAGTTGGAGACACTGTTTTGGTTAGAATACCAGCATAAAGGATTAAAACATAGAATCGAGGACAATTTGGAAAACGATACTTTTCAGAAAATAGGCCAACCCAACCCTGATATACCTGTATTAAATGTTAAATCAGAATATGGTAATATATGAAGACTACATCGTTATCATTTATTTCCGATAGAGTTTCTGGAAAATGAAGCAGTTATTGATTCAAATAATGGAGAACTAATGGCTAATGTTACTTCAAACATAGAAGAGAAAAAGGTAGAGGAAAACAGAGAATGCTTAAATATGTCGACATCAAGGAAGAAGGAGACAGTAGTGGAGATGATATTGTATTATATACATTAAAATCTGGTGATGCCTGGACTCCAAGTATTTACAGTGAAAATAAATTGACGTGTGTACCTAAACAGAAGATAACAAACAGGTGATGATAAAGGTGACGGTAAAACTTAGAAAAAATGTAGTGCAGAGAAAGGTCTAGAAAGAAAAGATGAAGACGAATCTCTTAGCAGTCACACTGGCAGCAAGAGTAAGGATTTAGAGACAGAATCAGTTTCATGAGAACAATAAGATATTACCCAGGAATTCATGAGAATAGTCTTAAGAATACAGGTATAGATACACAAGGAGTAAGTTAAGTTAAAGTTAATGTACGGCCAAGAAAACCCAGAAATGATACAAAAAAGCCTGAATGTCAGATTTTTAATCTTGTCAGATGACCACAAGATCTGATAAGCTGTACAAAGCCTATTTAATTCAGGAATTTTGGATGACATGAGCATATAAATTTAAAAAAAATGGTCAGTTCAGTATGGAAACTCAAAATCTTGGATGTTTTAAAGTTATTATGAATCAAATATTGCTTTTTGTATTAACCTTTATGCACCTTATATTGTTTTTTATATGCCCGAACAAATTTCTGACATATTATGTTATACCCCCTGGTGTCCGTCCGTCCTATAGCAATTTGTTTCCGGAGCAAAACTAAAGTTCCATTTGACTCACAAAATTCAAACTTCATAGGATGATTGTCCATATTGAGTAACAGACCTTTATTGATTTTTGGGTCACAATGTCAAATGTCAATGTAACTACATTATAACACAGTTTCCCTCATTACCTTAAGTATTAAATCAACCTACAGCTGTAACATTTCATATGATTAACATCATGCCAGTGAATGACCCTATTGCATTTTAGTGTCCCATAAGGTCAAAAGTCCAGGGTCACAATGATCTATACACCGAAAATTGTTGTTTTTAGAGCATAACTTAAAAATTTTTTTTGGCCCAAAGTGTTCCAAACTTCATAGGATGATTGTCAATATTGAGTAAAAAAAAACCTAATAATTCTTCGGTCACAAGCTCAAAAGATCAAGGTCCACTATAACCTTAAAACTTGAAAAACGGTTTCCGCTCAATAACTTAAGTATTATTCGACCTACAGCTGTAAAACTTTATAGGCATGAACAATCAATGTCCAATACATGACTCCTATTGATTTTTTAGGCGTCATAAGGGTCAAAGGGTCAGGGTCACAATAAAACCTTAACACTGAAAAATTGTGGGCTTCTGGAGGCATAAACACAAGTTCAATTTGGCTTACAGTATTCAAACGTCATACTAGGCATGATTGCCTCTATGAATTGAAAGATCCATATCTATATTGGGGTCACAAGGTCAAAGTCAATATCAAAATGACCTTAAATATTGTTAACAGTTTTACAACTGTCAAACCTTTCATAGGATGATCCCTATATTGAGTACATTAAAAATATATGCCCTAAAAAAATTTATATTATAGTTAAATGCCCTTTTCGTCTTTCCGTCCATCCGTCGTAGCATTTTTACTTACAAGATAGCAACTTGATGGTGGTGCTTTGGAAACAGTATATATATATATATTAAGGTTCTTCAGCTATAAACTTAAGGAAGATTGCTTTTTGAAGGAGGTAATACTTTATTTTAATGTGTTTATTTATCAAATACTTCAATTTATGTATACATTGTTTTTCCTTCATTAATGGGTACAGTGAAAGATGGCTGTTGTACAGAAGTCACAGTTTTTTTTGTTTATTCATTCAAGACTTACACTTTTCGGGCATATAATGCTCCGCTTAGCGGTGCTCTTGTTTTATATTGCAGGAATTGTTTAAAGTGGGGAGGAAAAAGAAAGTAAATTAAACATCTTTTTCATAGAGACTACAATATCCACAGAAATGCTTTATTGACAATTGAGTATTGTTTTTTACAGTGTAGCCAGAATTCGTCGAGAAAAGAATAATTTTATTATTATATTTGATTAAAACTGAGTATTGTATTTAATATTGTAATATTTTTTCTTTATAACAGTTTTTATGTGGTGAAATTTTTTTTATTCCATAGGCTTAGGTATAATCATGACTTTATACTAATGTGACCTGTATTGCCTTAAGGTGATTAAGGTGTTTCTGACCTTAAGGTGGTTAGAATAGTTCTGATATTAAGATGGTGTTACCATTATTTTTGGAAAATGACAGATTTCATTTTAACAGGCAAGGAAAAAATGTAGCAAGGTCTATTTTTCGGATAGTATGTGTTTTCTAATTTTTGTATCGGTATTATTTTTGTAAGAGTTGTTTCCCTTTGACTTTGGCGGAAAACTATACATTTCGTGTGAAACTCGCTAGAAATTTCCATAATAAACGCCGTATTCGGATGTTTCTAAATTCAAAATGTTACCAGTTGAATTCTGCTTAAGCCGGTCCTACGGTGCGTTGACACTAGTTTGCACTTGACATTCTGTTCAGTGCGTTGGTTGGTAGACACTGAGAGAGGAAGCGTCTCTCTGGTCACTAGTTTTATGAAGTTTCTTATACTGAAACATTTTCTTTTTTTGGTTGAAACCGTACATCACTTGATAAAGTAAGTATTGCAATGGCTAAAACATTTCATTGAATAATTATAGTCTTTGTTGTTTTGGCTAAGTAATGTACACGCATCATTTCCAAGATAAATCCGAGATATATACCACTTTCATTTTTAATTTTTAATATTCTATCATTTACTTATTCTGACAAATTTATATGTATATAATACTTGATGCATTATTATTGTTCACGGCAGCACTTAGTGAGATTCATTCGTGGATGATGTCGTATATTGTTAAAAAGGGCTAAAAATTTTATTATCTATGAAAGTAATGTTTTATATATGATGTACTTAGATGCGTCATTAAATCTTAATAACTTTAGCATTGTTATAAATGAAAGCACAAGGACCACTGTATCATTGAGTTATGAATTGCTATGATCTTAGCTACGAACTAGGTATTTCTATGATTGGAGATGTATAAAGAGCTATGAATTTGAACCATGAGGCATTTTACTTCCTCCAGGTAAGATGTATATTCATTATGAATAATATAAAAGAGAGATAACTCTTTATATGACTTATAATTATGAATCTCCATCATTTGGTAAGGACGGTTATTATTGTTCATTTCAGTGCCTTCCTTACTTGCATGTTTACATGTATACATGAAATGTACATAGAACTGTAGAATGATGGTTACCAACTTGATGTAACAGTTGGTATACTTTGTTTATTGATTATGATGAACTGTTGGTATATAAACTTAAGTCAATAAATTACACATGGTCGAACCTGAAAACAATATTCTGTATATATTGCTACCACGGAAAAGATACTCAAAATTTAAAATGTTTATTAAAAGCAATTATTTGAATCAATTTTCATAGAATATTAATAACGTACAAAACTTTAAAAAAATCTGAAGAATCACTCTTACCTTTCTTGAACTATATTGCAATATTTCAAAAGAGAGAACAATATAGTATATCAACATAGATATATGTCAGTTTATGCCATTGATCTTTATACAACAATCAAAATATTTAGACATATATAGTTAATTACCATAAGTAATACATATAAGCCATTTATTACAGTAAAACATTAAATAATTTAAAAGTAAACGGTTTTAAATTTGTTTTCGTTTCTTTTTGGCAAATGGGATTTTTTTTCTGTCTTTGATCGTTTTTACTTGGTAAATGGTTTTCATCGATGAAACGCATAACTTCATAAATTTTGTTTTATGTAACTCACTTGTCTATCCAGATCTGTTTCATGTTTCTTCATCTTCAATTGAAATTCTTTGTATTTTATCGCTTCATCTTTATAAGATCTCTTAAATCATATACAAGTCATAGATTGAGTATTAATTCATGTTTACAAATTAAACTAAATATATGATATTGTCTATAAGTATAAAACGATTCGTTCGTAAAAGTAGTTGCATTTTTCAGCATTATGCAAAAACAAACAAACCATTTCCTTTATTTCTAATACAACGATACTCGTATATTTTGTTGAAGCTTTACTACAAAAAAGAACAACAGAGGTATGATAAGATATGCAACATTCCGATTATAACGTACATATTTATGCACTCCTCTTTTGTGCCAATGACTCTATACTCATTTTTTAATCTTATTATTAAATACTCATTTAAAAGAAACAAAGTCAGCAATTATAATGTTTCTGAAAAGGTAAATTCCAAGCGGCGTTAAACTTTTATGTTTTGTTTGAAAAACGATCTTTGTTTTATCAAACTATATATTTAATAATATGTGATTTTGGGGAAGTACATTATATCACTTTTAAGCCTTCTTCAAAACTACGACATAAAAACTATTTTACCGACGTCAATGACGTTTGTTTCTAAAATCATGAAGAACGGGAAACGAAACGTCCTCTTGACAAAATAAATTAGAAAAAGAAGACCGCTAGAGTAGAGATATCGAGGGCTTCCTTACAGTGCATGCATTTATATAATTGAAGACACTTTACTCTTTAAAATATTATGAAACAATTTCCTAGAAATTACATATTCAATCTTTAGATAAGATAAAGTCTGCTTTAACAATTATTCAATTTACATGTAGTATTAATGATCATTGTCTGAATATTACAATATCAGTATTGATTACGAATAGAAATTAGACAACATCAAATAATATATACCATTTGGTCTATCTCCATTTGCAGCTTTAAGTAATTTTCTTTCAATTGTTTGTTTTCTTGTTTTGTCTCTGACACTTCATTCATAACGTGTGTTAATGAAGTTTTCTACAAAAAGCAGTCTATATCCAATTAAAACATCTTTCCAGTCATATTAATTTCATACTGTGCATCGCTTGTATTCAGACGGTCGTTTAAGGATATGAAAAAAATGACGACAAAAAGAGGCGCCTACGTGGAATACTAGATCAAGCTCGAAACCAGATTAAAGACGCTGCGGGAAAACAAAATATGAAATTTGTATCTTATAGATAAAATATTACCTTAATTGCTCAGTTCAATAATAAAAGAAACATATATCATGTCCTATATAATTAGGATAGAGATACGATATTGTACTTGCCCTGATCCCTGATGGAGCAAATGTATAATCTACGCAAATTGTATTCTCCCCTGAACTACATGTACAATATCGATTCGGTCGCAGTTAAGATGGCGACACGAAATACGATTTTAGGAACCTAACTGGCGGTCATTGTTTCAAGCTGCAAAATTGTTTGCAACAGTATTTAATAATGACTGTGTTTGAGGGGTTGGAGGACAAGTAAAACCATGATTTCATTGCACTCTTACGATACCAATAATTTTTCTTTCACATTTGGATGTGTATGACGGTCTGTGTGTTTTTCATTTTCCTCATTATAACGATTGTTTAAATGCAAGTTTTTTCCATGCGGCATGTAGAAAGATATGCAAAATTATCACTAAAACATACGTGTTTTTCATTGTCCGCTTCGAGTTGTTTCATTTTATCTTCTAATTGTCTGGTTTTGTTCATTGATATCTGAATAAAATATATCAATTTTCAATTGATTGATGTAACATTTCCTTAATTACTTTAGTTAATATATAAAAGCAAAATGAAATAAACGCAAATGTAGTTTTTTTATAGATTAATCTCGAAAAATTTAAAGCATTGTTTATTAAAATTATTTACTTAATATAAAAACATCCGAATGCATATGCTTACTTCAATGACTCTATCCGTTTTCAATGTTTTGTGTTCTTCCTCCAAAGAATCATCTTGCTGCTTTAAGTATATAAGCTCATTAGGCTCTTGTACGGACATCATTTCCTATCAAATAGAATATATTAGTCCGCAATTTCAGAATAAAAATGTTCAATTGAAAGGGCAGACATTTGGCAATTGATCATAATAATATGCTCTGTTCCTTCTGTCCGTATCAAGCTATTGGTGACGAATTTCACTTCTTATTTGAATGTTCGTATTTTTATGACATCTTATTCCCAGTTTTTATATTCATCCCAATATTTTTAAACTGTCAGATTAATGAATAGTTGTGATAAAAAAATCTACTAAAATTCTCTTTATTTTGTAAAATAAATATGTTAAAATTTAGATAATTAATACTTCTCATTCTCTGTTCCAATTCGTTACAATGGAAAATACATGTTGTATTGAATTCAGTAGTTGAAAAAGAACAATATCATCTCCTTTTTGGTTTATTTAGCTAGTCAAAATTGTATTCTTTTATTGTGATATTAGTGATTTTTGACTGTTGTTTTCTGTTGTTTGTTATGACCAGTTGCATATAATATGCCTTGGTTTAATAAAAACTGAAACTGAAATTGAACGAAGCATAAACATTTAACCGAATATATAGTTACTGTTGCAAATCCGTCGTTTAAGACATTTTAAGGAAATTCAGACAAAATCATGTCAAGCTGTTTTTATAAACAACATCTAGACTTTGACACAAGATATTTATCGTTACGTAAAAGTATTGTAATCATTTAATAAAAACTATGACCGGCTAAATTATTTCTTATCAAAATATCGGTGTCATTTTGCAATTCAATGTTGGCTATAATGTTTATGAATTGTTATTACCTCCAACTGTAAAAGTAATGAAGAAATTAATTCCTTTGAAGATGACACGTCATTGCTTTTGATATGTTCAGGCAGGTCACTTTCACTTTCGCTGTCATCCAACATATTTTTTATAATTTCAAGAATGTTTTTCACAAGAAACTGATATTCGAAGGGTTCACAATCGGCATTATTATGCTGCATCTACAACAAATTAGTTATACATTATAATAAAAAATAATAAAAATTTACTTGCACTGAAGATTAAACAATCATAAAAATAATTTGCGTGCCAAATATTTAAGTTTCATTTGTCTATCTGTTTCCATGCATTGATTAAGGCAGACAACACTTTATTCCTCAAACTCTATGGAAATTATATAAGCTTTTATGAATATAGATACACAGTTCAATTAAAATGATGAAATATTTATAAACTGTATGATAATTAGTTTCTTTGAAATATGTAAAACAATAAATTCACCTTCTCTATATCTTCTACACCATTTGAACACGACTGGCAATTATTTTGCCAATGCCTCAAAAGTACCAACAAATGATCAAACAACATTTCCCGATCTTCGTTTGAAATGAGCAGGTCTTTTGCATATATCAATGTATCTATGTCTTCTAAAACCTTAAAAATACAGAATTATTCAACAATAAGCCAATGATGCATACATTTAAACTTTTCTAACCTTTAAACTGTATTGCTAAATGCAAGAAAAGGACGATTTTATTTTAGCATTTTTAATGATTGTAAGACTTTAACGACTTGGATTTTCATCAACTCTTATTATTTCATAATTGTCAGTATGAGTCGCTTTTAAGGGAAAAGGCAAA